TTTCTGGTGCTTTCACTTCCAGAGACAGTTGTAAGCACTGTGTAACTGCCTCGAGGGTGCTTGACCATTTTAACACAACGTGGTGCGATCATCCCCCTTGCGCGGAGCGGGTTCTCCACCCCGCACAACATGATCTACTCGACCACCATTATGGTTACCGCCAAAAAAAAAAAAACAGAGGTAAAAAAAAAAAACGGCAACCTGGTTGCCGAGTTTACGAAGTGAATTGGCATGTTTTACAACGTCCTTGCCAAGCGACGAAAACCCACTCCCGATGGCAAACACCGGGGGGGGCGGCCAAGGGGGGGGTACAAAATCGATAGCTTCTATACGGTCCCCTCCGCATCACCACGTCGTTGCGCCCGTGCTGGTCGGAACGATGCAACCAGCTCACGGGATGTGTCTCGCCAACGGCAGCATGCTGGAAGGGAGAATCGAGAACGGAATGAATGCAGGATGCCGGACCTTATCTGCTCAGAGATATGGTCGTGCGGATGGATACGTGTCGTCTCAAGCTGCTCGTTGTGGGCTTGCCTTTTCATGATACCGGCTGTCGAAGCGTAAACGGGTTCGAAACCCTTGGAAGCGTTAAGAGAAAGCCGGGACGGATCCTTGAGAGGGCTGAGCCCGTGTCACTCCTATCTCCTCCCGCATTTCTTTGGAGGAGTCGCAGTGTGAGCCGAGAGAGAGAGAGAGCTAGTGTTTTTGTAAGGGCACAACCGGATCGTACCTCGGCCGCTGGCTCTTTTCGGAGAACGACCGCCGATCGATCCTGCTGTTGAGTGAGAGGACAAGAAGCTAGATCGTGCGCGAGAGAGGAGAAAAAGCGGAGCACAGAAAGAGGGGCAAGAACCAGGTACGGGTGTGTGTGTTTGCTGGTGTGGACATAAGAAGTGTGCTCCTGTGAGGGGAGGGAAGTGCACACACCCAACAGATAAGGCTCTGTGGAGAGGAGCGCGCCCGGGCGTTTGGAGTTTGCCGGTGCGCACAGCGCATTGGTAAACATGCACGGCCACGGGCCACGCCGCGCATGCGCTCCGCTCGCACACAAGACAGCTGGCGAAAAGAGCATGGGCTTCCCACAAAGCGTGCTTGCTGCTTGATCTGGAGCCAAGCGACCCTCGGATACTCTCTCGTTGTGGCTACACTACACATGTACACACATGGACAAAGATCATGCAGCTGCTGCTCAGGCTGGTCACACTCGAAAGTGAGATAGATGGATCACCGCGTGAGCCGTGAAAGCTCTTTGTTAGGATAATCCGAACTGGGAGTAGCTTGTCGCAAGACGTGTGTTGAATAGGGTATCGGCAACTCGGCGGGCTTGCGCCGAGGAGAATAACTTGTTGTGATTAGTTGCATCCACATACACACACAAGCCCCGTTGAGGGGGCGACGCCGTATACAACAGGGGTACCTTCTATATCCCTGGAATCCATTCTACGTACCACACATGTCACCCGGTAGTCCGCTCTACCTCATTCCATGGGAACATCCAGCACCAACCACTTGGCATTGCTACAAGTATATCTATCAGCCTCCCTGCTTGTGGCTATGCCATGTCTTCATGATCTTTCAGTAACTCCAAAACACAAGGAAATAATCCAAAACACAACTCAACTATGCAACAATACCCTTCTGTGCTAGAAACATATTTCCATCCCCGATCATTCCAGTTGTAGTTCTTCGATAATCATAGCGATCCAGGTGCCCCCCATCCCAGAGCGCCATTCATTGAGAAGACCATAGGCAAAAATGTAAAACAATGCCACCCTAGTTCTTTGATTAAATACAAATAAATCCAAATCTACCGTTCCTGTTCCGCACTCATCACGAAATTACGATAAAACTCAAAATTTCCCAAGTGCCTTCGTGAGGAAGTCAGCATGTTGATGCGCTGATTCCGCGTGAAAAATCGGAATCTCCTTCCTGCCTACCAGTTCCCTGATAAAGTGGTGCCTTAGGTCGATGTGCTTCGAGTTACTGTTGCTAATCGGGTTCTGCGCCAGCTGAATAGCCCCCTGGTTATCCTCGAACACCGGAATACACGACGGTATACCTGCTTCTGGCAACATGAAACGCCATACCTGCCTCAGAAACAACACTTCCTTCATCACATCCGCAAGGGAGACATACTCCGCCTCTGTCGTGCTCAACGTAACGCACTTCTGCGTCCTTGAAAACCAAGAAATACACCCCCCCACACACATCAACAAGCCTCCTGACACAGACCTCCTATCGGCAGCCTTGCTTGTATAGTCTGCGTCTGCGAACACCTCCATGCTTAACCCTGCTACACTACCCCTCCTGAATGCAATCCCCAAGTCACTAGTCCTTACCACATACCCCAAAATACCAAGACCTGCTCTCCAATGAATTTCTTTGGGAGAAGCACAGTACCGTGCTACCGCTCTTACTGCATTCGCGATATCTGGCCTCGTTTGCGTTGCCAGCCACATCAATGATCCTATCAGCTCACGAAAAGGCCATGATACCACTTCCTCATCCTGGTCAAACTCTGAAAGCTTCAACCCTACAGGAAGAGGAATTTCCTTCCCGTACTCTACCCCAAACTCCATCCCCAACTCTTCAGCGTACGTCTGCTGCGAGATCTTCAAAGTCCCTGCATCCCAATCTCTCTCATAAAAACATCCAGAGTACCACCTCAAGTCACCAAGATTCTTCACCGGTACCATGGTGTTGAGGTCCCTACCAAATTGGTCACACCTCTCCTCCTCTCCAATCGAAAATATGTCATCCACATGTACTACCAGAGTCACTACGACTCTTCCCTCCTCGATCAACCGAAACACACACGTATCCGCCTGACACTAAATAAAACCCAAACAAATCAAACACCTCGCCAAGTGTGAATGCCATTGCCTTGATGCCTGCTTAAGGCCATACAGACTCTTGTTCAACTTCACTATCATGCCTGACAA